GCTCCATTGAGTTAGTGGAGCTATACTTGGCCAGCCCCACCACTCATGCTGTCTTTCATTTTTTTGTCTTGCATCTTTCTTTCTTCCTCAGCGCTCACTGATCTTTCGGTCCGTTGGTAATAGTCGTGAATGACAATCAATACCTGATCAATTTGGACCGACAACAAATATGGAGGGACCCGAATGATGACTGACTCGAAATTCACGAATTTCGCTTCAGGACCAGCTGTCAAAGTCAGCGCGTCTATTTGAGGACGTATTCGCGTTCATGGTGAAAGTGGTGTGAAATACATAATGAATGCTTTTGAGCTTGTAATTTACAAATCTCTTTGTCTAGTCTTGTTAAGAAGTCGGTAAGCTACATGGATCAGTGAGCAACGAGCATACCTTTCTTGGAATATTCGACCCCAATCATCACCATTGAAAGTTTATTTGTAGTTCATGAACTGCGCCAATTCTCGCCCTCTATTCCGTGTTCCATATTCTAGTTTTCTACCCTTTTCTCCTTAGTACCAAATCAAGTGGATGATCCTTTTCTCGGAATTACCTAACAATTATTTGGTACCCCCACCAAAATTCTGCACCCCACTCAAAAAAAAAATGGTTCACGTGACCGAAATTGTTCTCTTCAAAATCTTCACTACATCCACAAAAAAACTTCACAACATCCTCAAAAAGAGGTCAAAAAGAGCAAAATATGAATCTATTGGCGGTGCTGGGAATCGAACCCAGATTGAAGCGGGATGTATGAGTCCGTAACGACTCGACTTCGTGAAGACCCTGAGAGGAGAAACCACAACACCACGTGCTACCATTACACCACACCACCTTGTCATTTGATGAAGGACGTGGTTGGGATTTTGAACTATGAAGCAGAATTTGTTTAGGCCCACCAGTGTGGACTGAGAGCTACTAGGTAGACACTGTCGTGGGGTCCCACTTGAGTATGAGTAACTAGATCACTTTACCCTCTAAGTCTTGAGCCACTAGTGTGACTCAATTTGTCTTCTATCAAGAGGCCAACAATACTCTGCCGTTATCTCGAGGCTCATAAGAGTGCAACTCTAAGATGTACGGTTTTCCAAAACGAATTACAAACAAAAACAACATCCTGCACTACCCGCAGCTTTCGGGCCTGCTATCGCTGCCAAACTCACCAGCGGATCTGGGGTTGAGAATATGGAAGTAATCAAAACTTTTTCTCCGGCTAAGCAGTATGGAACTCGGTTGTTATTCTGGAGCAGCTTGAGAACTGTGTGGATCATGTATATATGTCTATTTCAGGTGTTTTTCTCGTCATTAGTCTTTTCTTGATTCAATAGAAGCTAGCACGCTGCATATTCCTACGAGAACGAGGTCAAAGGCTGAAGAGGAAATCAAACGAGAGCGTAGTCAATAATAGTGGTTGAACTGAAAAGGTTGAACTAGAATAGAAAGAACAAGAAAGTAGTTATAGGATATGTGCTTCGCAGTGTGGATGGTTAGAGCTTTATACATCATGCTGGGAGGGGGAACTCTGAAACTTATGGATTGACGATCGGAATAGGCACAGTAGTAGTAATCATAATACCCTTCTTCAACCGGTTCCAAAGTTTCTAATATCATTCGGTTATGAAATCTCAGTTGTGGTATTATAAGTGAGTAGAAACACATGAGAACTAAAATTCAAAATTCCAGAAGTTATTGGTGATATCAAGTGTAATGAGGATTTCCCCCTTATGAGTATTGTTAGGAGGAGGAATACGCTGAAGTAATAAACATCATATCAAGCTTTATTTCTGATTTTGTAGAGACTATGACATTTTCTATGGGGGTTTCAACTCAGAATAGTTTTTGAACTTTATGTATATTGTCTAAGCTTTTGAACCTTTTGAATCGTTTGAATCGTTTGAATCGTTTGAATCGTTTGAATCGTTTGAATCGTTTGAATCGTTTGAATCGTTTGAATCGTTTGAATCGTTTGAATCGTTTGAATCGTTTGAATCGTTTGAATCGTTTGAATCGTTTGAATCGTTTGAATCGTTTGACTCGTTTGAATCGTTCAGATTGGATTCCAGCAGACTTATGAATTATTATTGAAAGTGAAAAAGTGAAACAACCCTGATCAAACTGGAGCAGTGTAATCGCTTTTTCTGCAGTAAGCCAGCAGGCTGATAGAATAATAGACTTGCTGTGGATACAACAGTTAAACAGATTGGAAATGTGAGATCATCTGCAAACATTGCAGCTGAATACATAGGACCAGCAGTCTTTCTACAGCTGATTGACTTGAAAACGAATGATTAAAGTCAAGTAACCACCAGAAATTTCTCGATAATAAAGAGAGAACTTCATATATAATACAAAAGCTTCAACTAGAACATGTTAAAAGCAAAAACAATGCATGGCGTTTCGGTATCTGTCAGTTATGAAGCAAAGGCTGAAACCCTGAATCAAAGGGAGCAGTGATATCTATGCACCTATTATTGTTGTTTTGTAAATTAAAAGTCAAGATTCTAATGAGTATATTTGTGTAGAAGCTTAAAAAGAATGCGTTTGTTCTAGGTGGAATAGCAACATTGACTGGATGGAGTACCTACCGAAGGATCAATCTCGAAGCATATTTCAAACATGTGCTTGTGTGGCCAGAATTTAGGAAAGTAAGATTTTACAAAGTGGTTGATGACCATACGAAAAGAACCATATGCCTAGGTAGAAGGAAAACCGATGATTAGACTAAGAATGGGTAGAAGGCAATGATTGTCTGAAGTGGAGTGCTTACCAAAGATCGAATATCTTGATTAAATGCAAATATCTGCAGGCTAGAAGGGGATACCTAGCTAGTACTTCCAAGATTAGCTGGAAGTAGATATTGGATATATCCAGTATCAAATGTATTATGCGAGGTTACTCTGAGATTGGAGTGCTTACCGTAGGTCTCTTCATTTAACTATTCCGTGAATGAAAAACAAGATTGTAGTGAGTATATCTGCTAGATAGTGAGTGAGTAAACTATCGATCTAGATATCTTGAAGGAGATTTGATTACCTACATAAATACCTCCCTAAAACATATGGATATCTTAAACACAATATGGAATTTTCGATACAAAAGTGACTAGAACAACATTCAACTGAACCAAATGACAATCCTCGGTAGGTACTCCAATAAGCCATCCCGTTTGCTCACAATAATATTGCCAAAACTTGAGCAGATCGAATGGCAGTAAATACAGTAATAAATCCGATATACTAACTCACCAAAATGTATGCACACTCTAGTTTTAATTTTCTTCCCAAGTAATTAAGATATATTTGGAGTTACGGTAGGTACCCCGAATGTTAAGTAGTTTTTGTTCAGGTATATATTTCGCTAAGTATATAGTATGTCATTGAGTTGGTAGTCATGTTAACGCGCTTACGGTGCTCCCTCGGCTGCAATACAAGTCTATTATTGCGATATGTATTATGAAAAGTTCAAGTCTCATAATAAGTCCGATCCCTAAGTGTCGAGGGATAATCAGTTCTCTAGGTTGTAACTCACGTATCTATATGGACATTTGTAAGGTTGCGAATTTCTACGTTTGTTACATGAGCTGCGGTGAGTACTCACTGCTTGAAGTTTTCATTGGAAAGAAGAAGTTTGGATATTTCAACCTGAGATTCTGAAAACTGTGATATAATAGAATAAGGGAATGATGTGGGAATGTACAGTGGGGGAAGAATACGATCGGGAAGAATATGGTAGGGGAAGAAGCTGGTGGGAAAATAGTGAGGGGAAAAGTACGGAGTATAATGGGGGAAGAATTGGCGAAAGGAAGAAAATCCAAACACTTATTAGCTATGGTCTAAGCTTACCTATGTATGAGCGAGAAATATGAGATTGAGAGGGAATACCTCGGTAGGTATTCCAAATTTTTCCAGTAAGTTAAGTACTCAATTACGATCATGATCTAAAATGATATACTCAAGTACAATAAACCTAAATGATAAAAACTTCGGTAAGTACTCCAAGACACTGAAGCATAATAATAGACATATCTTTCATTTAATGAGTGAAGAACTTTAAACATTTATCAAATTATGTATTATTATATTACATCACTTTATTATTTGATAAAGATTATATATAATGTTTCAAATTATTAATTTTTTTTAGTTAAATTTATTAATATAGGCTCAGAGTTATGTATAGTTGTAAGGTTTTTATACGTATAAGTAGTTAGATTGTTTTACTTTTTAAACTTTGAGATATAAATATAATATAATTTATTATTGATATTAAAAGGTTTAGAATACTTTGTTGTTACTTTGAGTATTTCGACTCAACGTCCTCACATATGAAACTCAATGGATCAGAAGTTCTCTGATTAGCTGCAAGCTTTGAGGCATTTCCTATAGCTCGCTTGCTCACTTATATTCTCGGGTTTCAAATTCATTGCCTTCTTTCCTTTTCTCCAATAAGTTCCTCTTGGTTTGAGGAGAATACAGAAGACTGGAACCTAAATGTAGGGTCTAGTTTTCAATATGTATTCACTCTAATCTGCTAGCTAACTATGAAGGACATAAACCTTATATAAGGGCTATTGAAAGGGCTAGCCTTCGCTTTCGCTTAAACGGACTACAAAAGCCTTTGGCTTAAGCCTATGTCCACACAGTTCCATATCCAGAAAGAAGGAATAAGAATACATTAATGATTAAGGATTCTTCCAACATGACCTTTCCGTTTTACTTGGCAGAATTTTGCATAGTCCTAGAGACCAAAGTATCTAATAGATAATTGTCAGCTATATATACGTAGAGACTAAGTTCAATGAGCAATGAACTTACTCATAATTGTTATGTTTATGATGATTGAGTGTTGCTTGGGCTTTATGAATGCTTCTTTGCACACATCTTCAGTGTGACTTTTCAAATCACGATATACTCTGTCGGCTTCTCGAATGGTTTCAAAAGACAATAGGGTTAGAAGGCCCATGGGTCAGCTTCAGATGAAGTTGAAAGGAAGAGAGTACGTATGTTTTAGGGTGACTTGCCTCGAATTTTGCTTGGTATGTTATCTGGGATTCCCATCTTGTCGATAGTGGTGAACATAGCTTCGACGAATCCAGTCCTCTCAACTTGTTTACTGCCAGTAGAACCTTCCTTGAAATATTCAGAAGTCCACTCTGGATCAAAGAGGGACTGTATAACACAGTGTAGAGTCAATTCGAACAAGCAATCTTTCATAAGAGTAACCTTGGAACTCTTTTGGATCAGCAAATCAGTAAACTTTTTCGTCTCAAAAAGTGAAGCTTGCCACATCTTGGTGTTGGAGTGAGACCCAATAGGAGGAGCTATCATTTTGCGAAGCAATTTCCCGTCATCGTTTATAGTCGTCTGCATATTTGGTCCATATATGCCAAAGAAGCCAAAAAGCTTCACTGGCTTTACGGACCCAGCTGCCTGGCTTGATATTGGGTTGATCAATTCAGGATCGGCAGTCCAGAGCATGTCTCCGCTTGGTGAAGAGAGCATGATTTTATCAGTGTTTAGGTCTTTAAATGGAGTATATCTGACATGCCAAACATGGAAAATTCTGCTTATACTAGCACAGCATAAGCCAGGTACGCTTAATGGATTGAGAAAAGCATCTATGGGAACCAGTCTCTTATCCATAACGGAGGCAAACATCTCAATACCGGAACAAGCTTAGAATAGCTGCTAGCCACCCAGGCATCAGCTGTGTGTATCCTGTAAAGCTGTAAGAATACTGCCAGGATCCATAAAGAAGAAGGTTCTCACACGGAGATTTATAAACAGGGAAACCGCTTTTGTTTGCATTGTGGAAGTTTGAAGTTCTTGAGAGTATCTTCTCAGACAAGCGAATCAAGAACAGAAATGATGAAATAGACAGAAATAGCTGAAGTATGGCGCTTGAAACTAGCAGATAATATGCGTTGAAAAGCGAGGGGGATAATAATGGAGGCAATGAAAGCGGTAGAGATTAAATTATTACCGATTGTGAAATTCATGTCTAGGTAATTAGAAAGGTTTATATTCATCGCAAGGTGCAAATCATGCTGATCATTTTCCAATATTTAGCTCGCTCGATTTGTAATATCAATGCATGATCTCTTTCCTAGGTGTAGGACATATAATTGTCACCGATGACACTCTAAAGAAGTAGGAATATCATAATATTGGTGTGCAATTAATTCTCGGTAACGATTAGCCCGTGAGGAGGTGGAGGGTTACATTTTCCGTATATCACTTCCCTGACTACGCATGCACTACTCCGCAAATGAGTTCAGCCGGGCATAGCTTTATCTAATGATTTGCTTTACTTGTAATAGAGGTTTCCCTCTGAAAAGCTTTGTAGCAATCCCATTTCTTATTTTTCCTTCAGTTACCTTGGTGAGTATTTTCATGCCGACACAAAGATGTCCACGAAAGCAGAGCAACGGGACTATATATTCGAAAGGGATTATAAATCTTCTATGCGGTGAGATTTCCCCTTTGGTGGCACTGAGTTGATGAAGCTAATGGATAATTGCAGCTTGAATTATAACCACTTTTTGATCAAAGAAGTCTGTGGATACCTCGTGCACCCAAGTATCCCGACGAATCAGACAAATCTGCGAATCGCAGATGTGGCTACAGGTACTGGGTAAACAACCAAGCTGTGCAAGACTTGAGCTGTGTCTGCTAACGAAATTGGTATCGAGGATTTGGGCCTGTGATCTGGCCAGCAAGCTCCCCGAGACTGTACGCATCGACGGATTCGATATTTCTGATGCCCAATACCCCGCACTGGGATTCCGACCAAAGAATGTACACCTGTATGTTCACGATGGATTTGAAGACTACCCAGCCGAGTTTCTGGAGCAGTACGACATTGTCAACGCTCGGTTTTGGCTATGTATAGTCAATGATCCTGATGCGAAGCCGTTGCTGCAAAAGCTGCTATCCCTAGTCAGTAAGTTGAAATTATTTTAGAACATGCGTCAAGCCATATCTAATACATATGTATCTGTAGAGCCTGACGGCTACCTACAATGGCTGGAGCCTGCCTCTATCAGCAAATGTCGTCGTGACACACGAAGGTGCAGAAACTACAGCATCAGAGCGACTTGCGAACACCTTCCACAAACCCAAGCCAGACAGCCAGTATGGCTGAGAAAATTCCCCGGATTAGTAGATGAAAGCGATTCCTAGATGCTAACTTGAATTAGTTGGGTTGAGGGTCTCAAATCTCTTTTCGAAAGAGAAGGCCTTACAGATGTGTCCCGTACTGATTATGCTTGGCCTATTCACCTTCGTCCTCTTTGGTCACAGAGCTCTATGGCAGCCACTGCAGATTTCATAGCAATGATTGATAGTTACAACACGAAAGGTTCCGGTATCGGGATGGAATTTGTTGAGGACTTGGAGAGAGAAAGTGCAAATGGAGTTGCTGTAGACACACCGTTCCAGTGTGTCGTTGGACGCAAAGCTCCGGAATGATTTTATATTTCTATTGGGCTAGCGGATAAGTGTTGATTCTTGATCGTAAATGTATACTAGTCTATCTGATAGATATAACATAATGATAGATATACAAGTTTCTAAATTTTGTAACTCATCAATATAGTGATACCTGTATGTTCGCTAGATCACCTTTCTTAACAACACAGCTTTTCGGAGCTAGTAAAGTCGCACTCGGTTCGGCCTATGTTGCCAAAAATTATAGTCTCTATCGCCTAAAAATCGTGGACGCCTAAGATTATAAAATCCTTCGAAGTACATCTAAATACGATTTCAAACACCAAATGTTTTATTTTCAAGTCCTACCTTTTTCCAATACGAAAAGTTGGCAGTCAAGTGACTGGCTCGTGGAGAGCTTGCTATTGCAAAGCCAGCTACAATCTATTCGCCATGACATCTTCCCAGCAAGCTGTAGATTGGAAAAATACTTAAGAGTATATTCCATTTACATGAGTTTCAAGCAATGGAATCTTAGCACTGCCCGTCGATGGTGGTAAGCTTTTTGAAATGGTGCATTTGTTTATGCTGAACTACCAAATCGATGCATATATGGAGGCTGTGGTAGGAGCAGAGACTTCGTCTGTACACGTAAACTCAATGAGAGGCCTTATATAACAGCTGTAACCCCATTGCACAGCCCCATCATAGAAAGAACGGAACGGCCAAAGGTATTTGCTCTGAATCGACAGTCCAAAGCCACATCGACAAAATTCAGCCTATTCTTACAGCTTTTATGAATCATGTAGTCTTGTTCTTTCCCATGACTATATTGTCTTGATCTGCCTCATCATGGCTATCCAATAGTCTGGAATACAGTCCAATAATGAATCACTTCCAGACATTCAAACCTCAAGTTTATTATACTACAGACCGGGCTATTGGATACCCTGGGCCGCTGCCACCGTCTCCAACTTCATCTCCCGTTCTCTCTTCCTCTTCCTCTTCCTCTTCCTCTTCTTCCACTCTCGCCCGCTTTCCATTTCTGCCATTCCGAACCTTCCTCGCCTTCTCAGCAAAATTTATACCTTCACTCCCCTCCTTAGATCGATGGTATAACTTTCCGATACCCACATATGCTTGAGCAAACTCCTTCTCGTTCCAATGTTCCAATAGTTTCTTTATACTTTTTTCATCTCCTTCAAGTATTCTCATCAAATACTCAGACCACTCCTTACTCCATTCTTTATAATTCTTCCTCTTTGTTCTGAAGCGAAAATGAAACGATCTGTATTGTCCTCTGAAATAGATCGCTTATCCAATAGTCCAGACCATCAGACATCCTGGGCATAGACACATCAGTTCCCATTTTTTGAACTTGAGTGATCCAGCTAGTGAACCCCAACCCATAATTTCACCACAACATAAGAAAGAAACATGAAGAAAGGGGCACAGATTATGAGCCCTTATGACAATAGAATGTGAGTGTAAAGTACACTGTAACTTTTATCAAATAGAAACTCGAAAGGTTTCCCGAGTTGATGCTTGACAACAGGGGCTTCCAATTTCGATAAGCGATAGGGCAGGGAAGTTGGAGGCCTTGATCAAGCATGATCAATTGAGAGAACATGCAAATACCTAGTTACAAAAGGTAGACTTAAGGGTCATTATCTTTCTTTATATTGGAATGGGAAAGCCATCGGTCTATCATACACCCACACAAATGAGGAAAGCTTAGATTTTCTAGTCTTTCATATTCATACATCATATACTAGACTACAATACTGTACAAATACAAACAAAAGTCATCTCATCTCGTATATTCATCTTATTCATATCATTTCGTCTCTTCTCTTCTCATCTCTAGGTATCTCATCTCATCCTGTCCTACTAACCGACATCGCATCCTCGCATCTCCCTCTCCGCATACCCCAACCCAATGTCCATGATTATATATATTAAGCAGATTCTCAGCTTAAGAAGTAGTATTCACAACCTTCTCCATGTTCGCCCGTCCTCTCTCCCCTTTCCGATATCCGAGTACCTCCATTTCTTGCTCCATCCCAATGGATCCGATCCACACTTCTCTTCAAAGGTACATTCCCTCCACACTCCCTTAAATGCATCAAACCACAATAATGTTTCCACGCCCGCAACTCCTCTTTCAATAACAGGTACAAAAAATATCCCATCCTTTCAATATGCATTGCTTAAAAATATCCGCCAGCATCACAAGAAAAACCAAAACCACAAATTTGCTCAGATCCCATCCACCCATCGATCCACTCATTCATAACATCTCCTTTCAATCGATCTTCCGAACCTAAAGATCCATCGGGCGAATAACCCTCCTCGAATGGCACAAAAGAGAACACGAAATCATAGTAACATAATCCATCACAGCCTACAATTCTTTCCACAAAACAAATGTCAATTCGCAACGAGTGGTGCGCCCAGACTTTGATTATTTGCTCTATACCTCATCAAGATTTGAGCTAAAACCAGTCGTTCTTCGGGATCAAAATATAGAGCTTGCTAATTCTTCGTGATGGATGACGTTCCAATTTCCAAGTCAACCTCATAATAACTTTTTGATGGCCATCAGAAAAATAAAGACATGCGAAGAACACATCATCATAGAGTTTCGTTCCCCACCATCCAAGGTTATAGAATTACCACAAAACATAATAGAATATCAGCCTTCCATGGATATTTTCTTAGCAGTATCCGTGCTTTCAACACTTGCATTTGTACCTCTTCGACCATGGCTACCCACTGCTGCCAGCTTCATCTTCGGTTTCTTTCTCATCATCGTGAGGCCTTCGTCACTATCTGAATCATCCATGTCCGCGTTCATACTGTTATCACCATCACCGTTGTATCCCTCTTCATCTGTGTCTGCATAAGGATGATTCACAGCGGGATGGATAACAACATGATCGTCAGAAATTGTAGAAACTGTGGGTTCAGATGATTCTTTGGACATTACAGGTGGCGTTACTGTTTCAGAGGTATCGTAAATGGTTTGTGAAGGACAGCTACCAGGATCTTGGAGCATATCACCTTCTGGATCAGCAGATACAGATGATGAGCCTGATACTAAAGCAGGCAATGAAGGAACCGATGGGAAGAATTGTTCATTCGAGCCAAGAGCTAATGAGGAGACAGGTGAGTTGACATTGGACGGAAAATTCATGTCACCAGGTGATATGATACTAGTCGAGGTGACTGAGCTATATGACCGAGCACGTTTGGCAGCTTCCTCTTGTTTTTGAGCAAAGATCTCATCGTCAGGTGATGGCGGACAATTTTTCAACGGTGCAGTTTCTAACTTGAGTTTCGAGCTATGAAATTCAAGGCGTTTTGCATGTGCGTCGGCTTCCATCTTCCTTCTTCGATCTAGTTGCTCTTGAGCTCTTTGAAACGATTCAGGCGTACTTGCACCATATGTTCGTGGGGCAGGCGTTTTCCCTTCCGGGGTTCGATTGGCCGTGGCAGGTCTATCGTCAAGGATCGATGCGGCATATTGGGTACTCATAACATTAGGCGTTGATGCTGACGAAACCGACTGATGTTTGTCGAAAATGTGCGGTTGGAAAAACAAGGGCGAGGGTATTGGCCTGTCGAAATAAGCGTCAATCGGACTATTCTCGGAGGAATATGTTGGACGGGGGTGTTTGAAAAGTCCAGGGGCAACAGCAGTACTCATTCCAACGATGGCGGATGCATGTTTGTCTTCGGCTTTGAAAAGACTCCTGTCGACAGATCTAGCCCTCGATGATGCACTTTCATCAATCTCCGTCAAGGATTCTCGACCTCTAGGATTCCATAAATGTCCACCAAATATCTGTCCCATATGATCTGTGAAAGGACCTGGCGTTCTTGGACATTCTTCTGTAGTGGGGCTTCCGGAAAATGCGTGATTTACAGATCTCGAATATGAATGGCCTCTATGAACGACCGTCGCAATCGACGGCGTCCCCGAGATAGTGCGTTCCGGTGGACCTGGTCTCGCATCAAAATTTGATGATGCCAAAGAGGATCCAGAACGTTTGGGAGTGTTTCCTACCAGGGAAGAAAGGGAAAAGTCCTGTTGGAATGGATCGCATTGCAGCGAGTCAGGGCTAGCCGTTTGACTTTGGGCCAAAGGGTGTTCCGTTGATTCTTTGTGATGATCATTGTGAGAATCACCGAACGATGAGAAGTATTCATCTCCGCGAAGACTAGCTCGACGAACTATCTCGCGCAAAATAGGAGTATATGGCGGAGCATGGGTGTGATTTTCGGTACCTGAACTTGTGTTTGTAGCATTGCTTGTAGCTCTCTTACGGGACCCTTCCCCCTTATCATTTCTCATCACACTTGTGACCTTGCCTATAGTCTTTTTGAAAGTCGACCGAGCTCGCTCCAAGAATGTAATAGGTACAACAGCCCGTTCCAATTCGCTCTTGTCGACTTCGATCCTACGTCCGGCGGTCTTGCGTGATGGATCTGTATCGTCAAGCCATCCAATGATGTTCTCGATGCCTTTGATCGTCCATGGATGTCGTTTGACTTCTCGAAGTTTGATCCGCTCGGCAGGATCTTTGATTAACATTCTTTTAAGCAAATCATACAACTCATCATCTATTTTCTCGTAAGACAAATCATCCTCACTCCTATATGGCCCATCCCATGGTCCCATCCTTCTGCTAAAGTGTGAGGTTGGATTCCCTGGATCGACAGCCTTTAATCGTTTTCTGGGTATATAGACATCCTCCTTTGCGATAGCCTTAAACAATTGGTATTCATCCTCGGCCATGAATGGAATACGAGCATATACTAGGCAGTATAGAGTAATTCCCAAAGACCAAACATCAATTTGTTCAGTAATTCTTGGCTGTTCAATTTCTAGATCTGTGTAGCATAATTCGGGAGCGAAAAAGGCAGGTGTCCCAACAGTCTTAGCCAACTCTAGGTCGTCATCAAAGTCAGTTGCGTCAGCCTCGGAAATATTCTCTTCTGTCTCTCCTTCTCTGATAGGTCGACCAAAATACGAAACACCAAAATCAGATATCTTGACGCGATGATCCTTTGTCCATAATAGATTAGCGGGCTTGATGTCTCGGTGAACGATACCTTCGTAGTGTAAATACTCCAGTCCTAAGACAGTGTCTCTGAAAGCCGACCTAGCTTGATCCAAAGTAAAGCATGGGACATAAGAGAAATCGTCTTCGAAAGCATCGTGTTGTGTCATGTCATCGACCGAAGACATGTGAGAAATAATACTATCCGCCATGCTAGGAGATCTTCCTCGATACATTGGATCCTCCGCGTAAGACCCGTACATTGTGCCTTCCAAAGCTATGGCTGAAGCTTGTGGAATATATGAGCCGGGGGTGTCCTCTTCATTATCGCTATCTAAAGGCCCTATCTCAAAGTCAACATCGCCACCTCCGGGTAAAGGAGTGGGAGCACGCGAACTTCTTGCAGTTGGTGCTCTAGATGTTGCTCGAGAGCTTTTCATAGATCCAGGGGCCGAACGAACTAGAGACGTGTGCGATAAGGATACGAAGGATTCTTTTGTGGTGGCTCGCGATAGGGGTGGTAATTCGGAACGTTCTTCCTCTTTTTCGTCATCATCTCCATGTTCCAAACTCCAAAACTCTCCATTTCCTTGATACTGTAGAAGTTTTGCCCTCTTCATCTCTTTCCTTTCTCTTCGACGCTTAAGTGTCTCGAAGTATGCCTCGTCATTTCCCTGATCATCCTCTCCCCTGATTTCTCTTTCGATTCTACGCCGTTCATATAAGGATATCTTGCGGACTCCCTTCCGGCGCCACACTATTTCTCCCAATTCGACATGTTCAAGAACCATGTATATTTTTTTCAACTCCGGGTCATCAATAACTTCCAATAAGCCGACGACATTGGGGTGACGAATTTTCTTGAGAATGGCAATTTCTCTCTTCGTTTTGTCTTCGGGAGAAACCGTAACTCTCCCAAGTCTTCTTTTCTTTGAAAATCTTTGTATGATTTTGATGGCGACATAATCTTGAGTTTCAAGGCTCCGGGCCAATTTAACTTTTCCATGTACACCTCTCCCAATCTCATCGATGATCTCATACTGATTTATGAGTTTTCTTCCGGTAATGAAATCTTGTTCGACTTGTGCTTTGTGAGTTCTGATTTCGATTAAAAAAAAAACAAGTTAGTCAATGTTTCAAGATGTAGTG